CATCGATTTATACACATTATCGCTCCCCGCAGCGCGCCCCGCAGGAGCAACCCGGGGGTTGCGCAGCGAGTCGGTGGGGCGGGAGACCCAGCCTCGCAGTAGGGCCTGCGCGCCGCGGGGCGCTGGTGTGTGTCCCTGCGCGCCTCTGGGGCGGGGGTGGCTGACCTGAAGGGCCTCCTCCAGGAGCAAAGTTCGGATTTCAGGATGAGAGAGAGAGCAGCTCTAAAAAGCAAATTATCTTTCTGGCGGGAAGCACCAGAGTGTAGGAGGTGAGTGCAGGAGTGCTGCTGTTACCACTGCGTTAGTAAAAGCACCTGATTAGGGTTTTTCTTCCGGGTTTGGGCTGGGATGCGGTGACAAAAGTTTATCCTATAGCAACATGCAGTTTATTGGTGTGTTTTAATTTAGTGATCTGAAGTGGGACATCTGTACAAAGCAAATTAAAGTTGTTTGCATCCTGTTTCACAAGGAAATTTTAAATGTGTGGTTGTTATGTTCATAGCACTTCTTATAGAGTACTGGTAAGTGCTGATTTATAAAATAGCTTGCAAAGTATAGGAATGGGTTCTTGTACTTCTTTATTCCCTTATGATGGATAAAGTTGTTCCTGAGAGCAAAAAAGGAATCTGATGCTGCTGCATTCTCTCTGGGAATTGCTAAGACCAAAGAATGGCCCATGGTCAGATTTTGCTTGCCTGACATACTCATGCCAATAGCCAACAATACTAATATTTTAAATTTTTGGTGGTGACTTGAAGTTTTTGCTAAACCCTATCAATTAATGGTTATCTGTGTCTAAATGCACAAAGATTTAGTCATAGTCTTCAAATATATATATGTATATAAGTATGCAGTATTATTGTTTGCCATCATTCTATACTGTAAAATTTTATTGTTGCAACCTTGTAGTCTAGAGTTCTGTTACTGAAAACAAGTCTGTAGGTAAGCACATGTAAATGAAAATTTCAGGTTTCTGTCATCATTTCCTTTTTCACCAGATAATAACTCTTGGAAAGCAATCTGATGTCATTTGTTCCCGTCAAAGACTTCTAGAGTTGTTCCTGTCACTCCTATTTATAGGCATGAAGTAACTTTTCTTTGTGGAAGTCTTTCAAATCTGGACTTCCTGTTCTTGCAACAAACTGCAGGAATGAACAGATTGAGAAAGTACTTCACTTTTTTATTATAAATCTGATGTTAAAATCCTTTGTTGCAGCAGAGCTACTTTATTTTTTTGCTTCACTTGCTGTAGCTGATTGCTTTCTATAGACTATCAAGCTTTCTAAAAGACAGATTTTTATCTTAACAAGTGAGGCATTGAAACCATAACATACATAGACTTCGTGGTTTGTGTTGGCCAAAACCAACTGTATCCTATTTAACTAGTTAACTTTTTTTTTAAATCTATATAATCTAATAATGTTGTCTGAACCTCATTTAGTATCCTGTGGTGTCTGGTCATTTCCATTCAGGCAGACAAATACTGATGTGTTTTATAGTAAGCGTAAGTGTGATGAGAGCAAAACTGTAGGGAATCAGACTACTCCATTTCCAGTTGCATTTTTATAGCACTTTCCCCCTTTGCGGGGAGCAGGGGGGGAAGTTTTCATCCTATCTGTTTGGTTCCTCAGAACTGCTTTAACATGTTACTAACAACTAGACTTTTTCATTTATTATCTAGCTTGAAAACAAACTTGAGTGTGATGAGGCAAATATCATGCAAAGAACGGAAAATAGGTGTGACTAGAGAGAACTGCAGGCTGGAGATCACAGGAAGAAGTCAAAGGCTCAGCAATCCACAGTAACATGCCTTAAGGCCCTCGGAGTGTTGGGAGTGGTTGGACAGGAGGTACCTCCACCAGGTGAAGCCCAGGCTGACAGCCTGCAGTGTAGAAGGGGTGTAGGCCCAGCTGCCCCTCAAGAAGCATCCATCTCATTCCAAAACTTGAAGAAGGCCGACAATGGCAGCTGTGTTCAGACAGAAAACACAAGCAGGTGAACACACCCACTGCTGTCCAGTTGTTCGGAATGACTGTGAAGGACACCCTGTGCC